GTACGTGTCGGAAAGAAGCGACGTATGCAGATAAACGACAAAAACAGATAAATGCCATTTACGTTGATGATGATTACGAAGCTGAGGAATGGTTAGATATACGGCTCACCGGCACTTACATTCGATTTGGAAAGAAACTATTTGATGATGCTGTATCACGGCTCTTAAACTATATCCCAAAATCAAATGAGAGTCTGATTGCGTTAGTTCCTCAAATTATTCAGCATGAAGTTACATCTCAATCTCCAATTGTTCAACAACCAAGTGAACAAAAGGAACAACAATCTACTACATCTCTCATGAATAAACCGGTACAAAATTGGACTAAACAAGATATTGATGCCTGGTTTAACGAACACCATTTATTACCGCAGCTCTATTCATTGTACTCTTTTGAGGATGGTGCAGAGTTATACGAATATGCTACGGCGTTTAATGATAATATATTAGACGCAAAAAATAAAAAATTAAAATATGAAAATTTATGTGCGTCTATAAAATCACAATTTGGCGTCAGATTTGAAGACTATCATTATGCTAAACTTGTGACTTCGATGAAAAAGCTCATTACTGATAATTCGCAAGCCAATTTTCTCCGTGATAATCCGTCATCTGTCTGATGCATCGTCATCAATGAGCCCCTTCAAGTGCAATACACACAAAACTCTTATATTCCATATAGACACTTTTTCATTTGTTGCAATTCAGGGACACTATTGTTAAATGACAGAGCGCAAAATACATATCTGAATTATAAGTTACGTTTGTTACGCAGCTGATCAACTAAATACCAGAATGATCGTTTCGGGGCTTTAAATTTAGGACGACCTTATTTGTTCTGGCGCTCCTGTAATAAATGAAAATACACTCATTTTTTTCACAATATTAGTATCTGCAACACGTACCACCACTGAAAACTTCCCAAAGTCTACGAGGGTCAGTTAGAACTGTTCAAAATTCGCTGAGTACATAGAACTCGAGCTTCTAGTGACGAAAAAGATACTAGCACTCTAATCGTGCGAGGCATGGAAGGATCTTATTTGCCTAGCATACTTTTTCAGTATGTTGATCAAAACATTTGTTGAAGCTAACCTTTGTACTTAGAATCATAAAATATTCAGTCAAGGTAAATTCCAAAGTGAGAAGAAGAAGATATGAAAAAAACTGGCGTTTGTGTGAAACGTAGACTTTTTCCGTAAGTTGTCTTTGCCACGGAAAACGAATATGTTAGTTAAAAAATTTTTAGTATGCGTTTTTACTGAGAAAAAATTAAAAAATTGGACGACTGCATTTTTCCAGAAAATCGCAACATTCCGAAAAACATGCGATATCTCGACTTCACAAAGTCGTGAAACCTTCGGAATATGTTTTTCGGAATCATCGTGGAAAACTCCATATCATAGACTATCTCTGAAGGTTCAGCAGGTGTAAAAAGTGCTCCCCTTCTCGTCATACTTTAAAGGAATCAAATTAGATATTCACCGCTTGCAAGCCTATCAGCGCCATCAGGTCGAGAGATAGACTCTTCATTCTTACGCCGTTAGAACCGCCATCAAACGTAAAACCAAGTTATAGAGTCACTTTTTTGAATTTCTGTTTTTTTGCTGAGATATTATTGTTTTTTCAAAATGAACGCTTTTTCACCTATAATCGGCCAAGTGATTTTTTTCCTAGTTTCTTATTTTTCAACAGAATTCACTCAAATTAGCAGAGTATAGATAAAAAAACATTCTAAATCCAATGGTAAGGTTTCCAGGATCTCCAGAGGGTTTCTAGAAGGTTTCTAAAAAACTTTCAGGATTGATTATTTCAATATCTCAGAAATGCTAAAGAAAAAATAGAAACAACAACAAATATAAAAGTAGAAACTACTTGTCCAAATTAGTGTTCACGATTTTTCGATGAGAAATAATATTGTCTTTGCATAAACTTGAAAAAAACATTTGCAATACTTGTTTGTAATCTTTACCATCATTATATGCCATTAATGTTGTCCAGAATCTTCTACATAATTTTAAATATATTTGGCGATCTTCAAAATGTTTTCTTGCTTCACCAATTAATGATACCATCTTGTTGAATGTTTGATCATTGTGTTTGCGAACAAATTGTTTCATATGACACCAATAACCTTCAATAGGATTTAATTCACAATGATATTCGTTGATTTGTAGCTGGATCTAAATATTCAATTGATTGAACTGGACACCGGATACCTGGTTTCATACCAAAATCATTAACACTAAATTCCTTGCTAGTATGAGTTCTTGCATTATCCACTAACACTTCAATAGTATGCGTCTTGTATTCTTCTTTGAACTGTAACATTTGAAATAATCGTTCAAATTGTTCTAAAATCAATTCGTTGTCCATATATAAATCACTTCCAATATTTATTGCTGCTGATGCCGAAAATTTTTCATAAATAATATCTACTTCTTCCAATAATTTTGGATATCGTTGAGTTGCTTGATTCCATTCAGCTGGACTTAATTGAAAATATGGTGACGATGGATGGATGACCAAAAAATCGGAAATCATGTAGCTTCGACCACGACCTTTGCTAAAAAAGGGTGCCGAATCATCGATCACCCACCTACGCGCACTAACCTCTCCACTACGAAAAGTAGATTCATCGTGACCTGAAAAAATTTGAAAAAAAAACAAGAGCAAAAATAAAAAGAAAAGAAAAAGTTGAAGGAGAAAAAACAAGTTTTTTAACTTACAAATCAAAACTCTGGGCTTTGGTGCTGTTGGCTGGATCCATTTTGATACTTCCTCATCGTTCAATAAATAATATTCAGTTTTGTTGGATAAAAAATGATCAATAAATTCTTTTCGATGTTGTTGGACGTCTGGTCTTTCGTGGCCCTCAAAATACGGACGATTTTTGTTGGCTTCATTTCTTCCTCCCCATCGTCTAATATCGATTCTGCACATTTCAATTGATCTAATTAATTGTTGTGCTGTTTTTTGTAACCCATTAATTTCATAAAAACGATCGTCCAGAAATTTGGCTAACGATTCGACGGTAAAACTGCTAGCTTTTTTGGAACATTCCTCATATGTTCAAACAAAATATGTTCAAACATATTAAAGGTAAGAAATACCTTTAATACCTTTAATATGTTTGAACATATTTAATGAATAAAAACACTTTTAACGTCTTTGCATGTCTTAAAAGTTAATGCATTTAGGAGCCTTTATATTTTTAATTTTTTCAATGCATTTTCACAAATTCAACGTCTACAAATATCTTATTAACTAGCGCATTTAAGCGTTTTAATTTTTTTCGCACATTCGAATAAGTAAAAGAAATTTTTTGTCCATTTAATGACATCAAATGTATTCAGATTAATCTGATACATTCACAAGCCTTAAGAGTTAATATATTCAAATTCGTGAAATTGTTTAATGCTTCGAATTGTTTTTCGTAAATTTAATACATTAACAGGTTTTAAGAGCTATCTTATAAGTGAACGCCAAGTGGATTCCCAGTGACTGTCTAGAACGTACGGCGTAAGTGTGTAAAATACATGTAATGACAAAATTTATGAAAATTTTTGTTTTGGGATTCTTTAAAATGGGATGTCTTAAAATAATTCAGTATGAGACTAAAATGCGTTTTAGGCTAACGCGTTTATCCAATTTAAGTCGTTTTAACGCATTAATGATTTATTATTAGATGAAAAGTTTTTTCGTCTACTTTCGGTACAGAAAATTACATGTAAACGCGTACAAATACAATAAGCATATAAACGCGTTAAAATTTTGTTTGAAGTCAATTAATGTGTGCAAGCCTACTCATGCTACATGTTATAAAATTCGTTAAAAATGGTTCACACGTGAAAAGGAAATTTTTTGATGTAAAGAGAATTCATTGGAAGTGAATAGTTAACTTCTGTTTAAATTTAAAATGTCTGATCTTTATTGTAGTTTGGCCTAGGACGTCAGCGGTCTTCTGTTATGTCTCGTGAAACATTGATCTGGAGGCAGCCTTCTAAAATGGGTGACCTTCGGATATAGCTGATATAGGGTGGCATTCTAAAGGGAGCGGGTGGGAGTGTTATAAATTATAACATGTGCGCTGATAAAAACTTTTCGGCGGCGGCGAATGAAATTTTTATCATAGGTAGCGACGGCGCAAGGCTATGAAAATTTTCTCCGCCTCCGGCGGCGTCGTCTAAAAATTGCTTATCGGTGGCGAATCTCATAATTTAAGTAAAACAACGTCTTGCATTTCTGGCACGTTCTTCGCGCACCAACTGTATCTGTACGTTGCCGTATCCGAAAAGATAGAAACTCACTGCACGCTAGATGCCTAAGGTAAGAACGTACTAACAAAAATAGTCAACATTTTTGGGAAAAACTTTTTTTAGCATAGTCTTCAATGTTCTGAGTATAATTGTGTATGGCTGAAAGTTCTATTAGTCTACAAAGCTGTCTTGCTGTCTTCCGGTTTACATTCTGTGAAGAATTCGTATATAACGAATGATTCAATAATAAAAAATCATGAGCACATGAATGAAAAGAACGATAGAAAAATAGAATTTCAAAAAAAATGACGTGTACCTTTTTTTATCTTGTTTCTTTTCTTTATTTCGTACATGCGGTACAAAACCCAATAAATGAATCATGCAAAACAAATGTTAGAAGCTAAAAACTTTATTTCTTGTCACCGATATAATGGCGTCTAGATTGGAGTCAAGCTGTCCGAATGAAATTATTCTTAATATATTTCGTTATTTGGATTCATCTGACATATTTTTGTGCTTTTTCTGTTTGAATAAGCGTTTTGATTCGTTGCTCGAATACTATTTCACCTTTCTTAATCTAAGCAATGTAAGATTCAAAACATTCAAGAGTTTCAAAGAGATTATGTTGCCAAACATTGTGTGAGACGACTGCAACTCGGCAGGTATCCGTGTTATCCACAGCTGGATGCCCTTCTGTCGTGCACGAATTTACAAACGTTGGAATTGCTTCATGATCATTTGATGGATATTGAACCTCATTTAGATAAACTTTGCCAGTTGTACGAACTGAAACTTGATATCACTCCGCCTTCGTCTGGCGATGCTCACAAAATAAATTTATGCAAATATTTGTTCTCTGCTCACACCCGATTAAACACGCTGGATATCAACTGGATTTATATAAACAAACATATTCGACCGTGTAAAATAACAAAATTGATTATTACACTAAATACATTTCCAGAATTTATCACATTATTGGATAATTTACCACGAATTCGGATCATGCATGTCACGTTTGCTGGTAAACACTATCGAGAGGACAACATTAAACGCGGTTCATTCAAAAATCTTTCGAAGAAAATTCGTCATCTAATCGATTTTTCGTTTAAAGCAACTAGTGATGAATTCGAGAATTATTCGTCTATTATTAGTCTACTGCGACATTTACCAGCTACTATAAAACAACTAACAATTCGACTTTTACTTAACAATAAAACACCGTTAATGGATGGGCAGTATCTGGAACGTAGTGTTCTAACCCATCTCATCGAACTAAATCAATTGAATTATGCCCTATTTATTATAGATAATGAGAAAGAATTGTCTGTAATCAAAATCTTATCAACATTTCAAAGTTTATTCTGGAAAAAGTGGTTAATCGCATGTCATTTCAATGAGCGAGATAATTTAGTTTGTGTGACTTCATTGCCATTTTTTTCAGAATCAATTCAAGGGATATCAAAGGGGTTTTTAGATCTTCAGCTCAACATTGAGCAAACAGTGACATCTGAACACTACAAAAGTTTGAAACGGTGCACAATGTTTGCTCCACTATCGTTATCATTGTTTAACCTTTTGAACAGCACGTTCAAGAATATCACAGTGCTCGACGTAAGTGATCTTGAAGATGATTCTGACGAGTCTACACAGTGGCTGATGAACATGGATCATCAATTTAGATTTGAAACTATCCACACTCTTGGTTTCAGCATGAGCGCCAGACGGGCAGATGATCAGTGGATGATATTTCGAAAAAAATTGTTGTTATCGTGTCCGAACCTGAAGAAACTGTTCATGAATTACAACTCGATTGTGTTAATAACTAACAATTTTAATGATGTTAGGTTTCACGTACAGTTTAAAAACATCGTTGAACTTAATCTTGGCGATTTTAATATTAAGCAGGTGGAGAATATTGTCAAGTATTTTCCGAACATTCGTCGGTTCGTAACTGCAACTGAAAGTTTTCGAATAAATTCCTTCACAATCAATGATATTGTCGATCTGCTCATATCTGTAAAACATTGTATTTATTTTGAGTTGCCGTTTCGTTGTGAGACACATTGTAATAATATCGAAGCTATTCGCAAAGAACTTGACGCCCATTACGATTGTTTCTACGTTCAATTTGCTGCTGACAGTGATCGGTATATTCAAATATGGATATAAATTCAATTACTTTTGAAGATGAAAGTTTTAGAATAGATAATAAGGCATCAACCATCATTTCAATACATATTTTCTGTGAGACACGTTTCGTCTTTATTCAAAAAGATAGCATCAATCTAACGGAACATTGTTTATTTGCATAATGATAACGGTGGTTCATGCTTTATTATCTTTGGAAATAAATCTTGATTATAAATGTTAAATGCTAATAAATCTAAGTTAATTTAAATCACTTTGGATAATCACAACATTTGTTTGAAACTATTATATGTTAAAAAAAGAAAGATTTATAATTATTTGTTAAATAGTTTTTGAAGAAAACTGTATAGAGACTTGCGGTTTTCGTTATTCGATCGAGATCTTCATGTTTTCTCGTTAAAAAGGTCGAAACATTCTTTTCCAAGGGACAATTTCGAAAAAGGGATCATCGATAAATCAATTCGGATTTGCTAAATTTGAAATAGCTATATATTTGTGAATCAAACGTTTGTTGTTCGTGCTGCTGAACAGGCATGCACCGATTTCAAATAGTCGAACTTCGATTCTTCGAAAATGAAAATGGTCTTACTCTAAGTAAAACGGAATTTTTTCTTATGACAAAATACTGAAGCGACGTCATCGCCCAGTTCGGATCCTTTTCTGTAAAAGTGGTGGTGGTCATTCAGCAGCATAAACGAAAAAAGATTTACAGCGAAAAATGGTTTTATATGCGAAAAACAAAGCTCTCAACGCCGTCAGTATTGTAGCAAAACTTTATTTTATAGGGAACCAAGGTCTTCCAACAGCCAAGAGTCTCGGTCTTGGTCTTGGTACATGTCTATAAACAAACAGGTAGGTTTAAGTTAGAAATTTTCATTTTTCTAATAATAAAGAATAAGCGAAGCTCAATCGATGCATGCCTAGTCACGATATGACATTATTAGTTTTTTATCACATATGCTCTGGCCATACGGTCTTATCCTTTCCACAAGATTTTCCCCGTAAGATCTCGGTAATTGAAAATAACAGCAGGTTTTATTTTTCGTTTATTTATACATGGTTGGATCGAGGTGATTCGGAAAATGTGTTTTTTAGCGTCTTGAAAAAACGTTTTACTGAAGAAAACTCGAAAGTTGGTTCATTTTGAAAAAACGCCTAATTTTCAGAAAATCAATTTGAGTACCAAACATTGATTCAAACGAGGTATATTTGATATTTCTAGAATCTGTAAGGAATTTTAATTATTTTTAAGCATTAATATTAAATCTTAAGAGTTGTTGCACAGTCGTGAGAGATAAGTTTTATATGTTCCATTTTTCTAGCCAAAATAACCTAAAACCGAAAATGTTACAACTCACGAGGGAACCTCCTGAGGTGCTAAAATCCTTTTTGAATGGAACTATTTTTAAAATGTAGGCCCTCATGAACTATGAATTACCCTAGCTTGGTTCGGGCACAATCGGCTTATTTGTTGAGATTTCGAACTTCCACTCGAATTTTCCCCATAGAGGACATCAAGCGTAAGAAAGCCAAAAAGGATTTGGGTGGAGGGCTCTTCCTTACAAAGTTAGGGGCTATTTTCCATTTTTCTACCCAAAATAACCTAAAACCGAAAATGTTACCGCTCACGAGGGAACCTCCTGAGGTGCTAAAATCCTTTTTGAATGGAACTATTTTTAACATGTAGGTCCTCATGAACTATGAAGAACTCCAGCTTGGTTCGGCGCAATCAGCCTATTTGTTGAGATTTCGCACTTTTACTCAAATTTTCCCCATGGGACCTGAATTTCAAGCAAAATCGGTTTTAATCTCGGCCTTTTTTTATCGGACTACAAATGGTCTGGGCTAAAAAATGCGATAAGTTTCAGCATGAAATTCAAAACTCCGATTTTGCTTGAAATCCAGGTCCCATGGGGAAAATTCGAGTAAAAGTTCGAAATCTCAACAAATAGGCTGATTGCGCCCGCACCAAGCTGGGGTTCTTCATAGTTCATGAGGACCTACATTTTAAAAATAGTTTCATTCAAAAAGGATTTTAGCATCTCAGGAGGCTCCCTCGTGAGCTGTAACATTTTCGGTTTTAGGTTATTTCGGGTAGAAAAATAGAAAATTGCCCCTAACTTTGTAAGGAAGAGCCCTCCGTCCAAATTCTTTTAGGCTTTCTTACCAGCTTGATGTCCTCTGTCGAATGACATATGAACAAATGAAATCAGAGGGTGACACCTAGAAAGGTTCCCTCGCTAGCTTAATCATTCTTTGTTAACTGAATGCACAATCGAATTTGACCGAAAGTTTCAAACATTCGCTCATACTATCAGCTAAATCCAGATTTCTTGTTTCGCTGTTAGGGGTGACACTTTCCCATTATTGTTACTGTAATGGGCTACAAAAATTTATTAGCTGTTATCAGTGGCTGAGGGTTAGGGTGACGAATTTTTCTTACCATTAATAGTAACAGGTAATGAAATGTTACTTCTGGAAAAGTAACGGATAAATTATTGGTTTTTGTTGAAACTTTATTTGTATGCTAGAAGATACGAAAACCATGTTCGGTCGATTGCCGTTTTCAGATTTAAATTTGCTCAATTCTACCGAGGATTTCTACGGAAAGAATTAGATATATTCTTTTGCAAAGCAAAGCTATTCTTTTACACAGGCTATTCTTTTAGAAAATAGTGTAAAATTACATCAATTAAAAAACGTTTAATGCATCATGCTTTACTAATTCTAGAAGTCGACAACACTGGTTCCTGATATTTGCCGTTTTTTTGTTCATTTTCAAGCATTCCTATCTTTTTTCTCGTGTGTGGCTTCAGTTAGGGTTTGTGGTTGGAGTGACAAAGCACTCTAGAGTTCTGCATGGGTTCTTTTGTAGAGCTAGAAAGATGCTGAGGTTTCAACTTGAACTATAAAATTCGGTTTCGAACAAGACGATGAATTATTTTCTTTGTCTTTTTCTATTTGCCACCCGTCGTACCCATGCCCAATGCTGTCTTGAATGTATCGTAGATCCACCATTGTAGACCGGTCAATGTACCAATCATGAGCACTCGAGTACCGAGACCCTATTTTTTGTGAAA